GGACCGAGGGGGCTCCCTCCCCGGAGGGCGGATGCCCGGTCCCGGGGTTCACACGCGCCCTCCCAGCGCCCGGCCGGGCTGCAGTTCCCGCCGCCGCCGCCGGGGGCCGCCGACCAGCTCGGGCTCCCGACACGTGGACGGGCCCGCGCCCCGCCCGCCGGCTGGGCTCGGGGACCCCCCCCAACGCCCCGCCCCGGGCCGTCCCTCCTCCCGAGCGGGGACCGGAAAGGCTAAGCGCGCCCGGGACGCGGGGGGCACTTCCTGCGTGCGCCCCCGCCCCTGCCCGGGCGCGCCCGGGGTCTCGGGGAACCCCAGCTCGCTCCTGCGCACGGCTGCGCCCCTGCTGTGCTGTCTCCTGCGCGGGGGCGGGGCGCCCGGGACCCAGGCTTCGGACAGAATTTGGACGCGACGCCGGGAGGCGGCCTGGGGGGAAGTGAAACCCGGCGGCGGGGCGGCCCCAGGGGGCGCAGAGTCGGGTTTCTGTGAGACACATGATAGGAAACCGAGGCCGCAGGACGGAGGGCGCTGGACGCCCCCGTGTCGACACTCGCCTACCCCCCGCCCCCGCCCCGCGCATCAGACCCCAGAAGGCGACTCGGCGGAAGGAAGTGGGGACCCGCCGGCCTGCCCGCCCCCGGGGGCTCCCGCAGACTCGGCCGTGGGCGATGCCCCCTGCCGCCCCCCCCCCCCCGCGCTAGAGGCCTACGTGGGCCCCCCCGCCCCCCGTCCTCGGCCCCAACCCGGATCGGTGCAGCAGCCAACAGGCTCACCCCAGAAGGGCCAGTCCCGTGGCCACCTCAGCCCGGGGACGCAGGGGACCCCCGCGGCCCCCACCCCTGCCGCCCCTCCCCAGGCGCGCTTCCGGCCAGGCCGGAAGGAGCAGGAATTCGGAATGTTTTGGAACGAGCTCTAAATCCCGGAGGATTCTCTGCAGTGGCTCCTACCCCCCCCCCCCGGGTGTGGGGGGAAGGGAGAGGAGACTAATCTGCATCTGATGGGAAGGGGGGTAAACCCGGAATGGGGGGAGGCCCCCCACACCCCTGCTCACTGCCAGCTGCAAGCATAGGGGTGCAGGATGGTGGGTGGGGGGTGGCCCATATCCTGACATGGGTGCTGGTGGGGAGGCTAGACCCAAGGGGGCCACGCCGGGGCGGAGCCCTGACCTGGGCCCCGGTCCCAGTTGACCGCTGCCTTCCTGCGTGGGGAAGCAGGTGTTGGGGGGAAGGCAGATGGCCCCACAGGGACAGACCGGTGACACCCGCCAGGCCACACCCACTGCAGCTCTCCTGTCCCCCACCCCCAGCCTCCGGACAAAACAAAACCCCTCCCAGTCCCTCCCCAGACCTTGGCCAGAAGCCTCCAAAGACAACCCCCCCCAAAGTCTTTTCTGGGCCTGCCTTTTCTTAGAAACAGGAAGTTGGGGGTGTGGGCCACACCTCCACCAGGTCAGGGCCCCACCAAGGGCAAGGGAGGGGTTTGGAGCCCATGGGAACTCACCACCCTGCCCCATGCCTGCAGTCCCCAGTGCCCGAGGGAGCCCCAGAAATGGCAAGGGAGGGCAAGGAGACCCAGCTACCTGGGTGGGGCTGAGACAGGGAGGGGAGGGGGTTGGGGGACATGGGGGGAGGGCAGAGGTGGGGGACTTGGAAGGGGAGTGGTGGCACCCTGTGTCCCTTGCCGGCTCGCAAGCCGACCTGGCTTTGCCACGAACACAAGCGTGCAGACACCACCGTAGTGCCCACGGCCCGCCTGGGTTGCACAGGGGACCCCGACAAGGCCCCAGATGGGCCCTCTGCTGCCTTCCCCTCTCTCTCACCCCTGCCTGGGCCTCGAGCTGGACTCCGATGTCCTCTGATGGGGGCCGCATGAGGAGGGGACCCAAGCCCTGACCTCGGGCTCCGGCCTTCACAAGGCGCCTGTCCCTGGAGGTTTCCACAGTAAGCTTCTGCGGCAGGAGTGACCTGGCCAAGAACTTGGGCCAAGCTTCCTGCCAGTAAGGGCTCCTGGGCCAGGCTTGGAGCAGGAAGGCCCGAGCTCGGCCCTGACGGACACCTGCCTGGCTCAGGACGCTCCGAAGAGAAGCCAGGCCGGCTCCACCTGCCTGTCCCTACCACCCCCCGCAGAGGAGCCACCTGCTCCAGGGCTGAGAGTCCCCGCACGCGTGGCCCCCGGCCCCTGGCACAGGGCTGGGCACAGATGGCCGCGGGCGTGAGGCCCGCACGGCTTGCGTCATCGCTGGGGCGGGGGGCGGGGGGGTGGGCAGGCATCCAGGCCCCTGAAGTCCTGCCCCCACCCCTCCCAGGGTTCCCTGGGCACACGGGAGGGTGCAGAGCACGGCGGGGTTCTGTGCGGAGGGTCAGGGTCGTCTCCAAGGCCCTGCTTTCACATCCTGCTGAGGCCAGCACAGCCGGGTCACAGCCCCACCCTTTCCTGAGGTCACAGGCCGTCCTTCGGGACCCTCCGCAGGGGTGGGCCAACCGCCCATTTTCCCTACGGGACGCCTGCCTTCCTGCCGGTGGTGGTCACCCAGGATGCGCCCAGGCCCCCCGGCCGGCAGAGGTGGGGGGGCCGCAGGGATCCCGTGAACAACCCGCTCTGCCTCAGACCTGCCCGAGGAGCCCGCCAGCTGTTTCTTCCCGGCCCGCAAGGGGTGACCTGTGACTGGACAGGCAGACAGAGGGCGGGGAGGGGGTCTCAGTGGGGCACAGGGGTGGGTCGGGTTCCAGGCTGGGTGAGCCAGGGAGGGGGGCTGTTGGCCACAGCTGGGGGTGTGGGTGGGGTGGAGGCTGGGCACCTCACTGCGCCAGGGCCTGACCCCGCGGCCCTTCCCCCGGGGGGCTCGGGGGAGGATGGTCCGTCCGAGCTGTTACTGTAAACGGGCTGGCGGCTTCCTCTTTCCGTGGAGGGCGCGCCTGGCATCCGCCTCCCCAGATAAGGTGCGAGCTCTTGGCCTGCGGTCAGCCCCCCTGACCACAGGGTGGTGGGTGGGGCCCGGGGGGCCAGACTGTGGCTCAGGGGCAACAGACTGGAGGGGGGGTGGAGACAGACAGCCAGGCACGGCCGAGCACGGGGGCCCAGGGTGGGGCGCTGGCTGCTGGTGACAGAGGCAGAAGTGAAAGCTGGGGTTGGGGGGTCACAGGGCAGGCCCAGAAACTAGGGACCTGAGTAAGTTCCCAGGAGCACCTCCCCTGCCCTGGGCTCGCCGCACCCCCGGGACCTCGGGGGGCTTGGAAACCGCACCAACTGGGGGGGGGGCCCAGGACTGGGGCCAGGGCTCTGGACAAACGAAGCCAAGCTGTGGGACGGCCTCGGGTCCCTGAGGCCGCCTGGCGGGTCCTGAGCCAAGGAGCCCGGGGGCAGCGTGAGGAAGCAGGAGGCTGCTGGGATACTGAGGAGGGGGGTTCTCCCGCCGTGACCCCTTAAGAACGGCTTTGGGAGGTGGGTTCTGACACGAGGCAGCTCCTATCCTGTCTGCCCCGCATCAGGGTGCACAGGGCCCTTTGAAGTCACATTTATACCCCAAAGCGAACCCCATGTTCTGAGGCCACCGCCGGCCCAGCTGCGAAGCCCCCAGCGGGCCAGGCACCACACCCAGTGGCCACAAGCTGTCCCTCGAAGCCTGCCCATGGCCGGCGCCCCCAGAAAGCCCTCCTTCCCCATCCCCCCAGGGGCCCCCCGCCCTTCAGGACCGCCTCTCACCCCCTGCCTCCCTCCCCTCATTTTCCACATTCAGGGCCTCCAGCGGCACATGGACCCTCGCGGGGCCGGTGCGGGTTGGAGACCGAGCGCCTGAGGGTCCTGGGCGGCCGCTGCGGGAGATGCTCTGGGGAAGGACACGGAAAGGCCCTCACCAGGCGGGGGGCCCCAGGGAGGGGCTTCGGTGGTAGGAGTGGGTGTCCCACGGGATGGCAGGTCTGGACAAGTGTGCAAGGTCACCCAAGGTCCCGCTGCCTATCCTGGCGGCTTTGGACATGAGGTGGGCAAGGGACAGGTGTTCAGCGTCAGACGCCAGGGGGGCCTTGGCTCCGCTCGGGGTACCCCTGCGACACCCACAGGAATGTCCACTCGGAAGACCCCGGGAGACAGCGAGGGGCAGCCCTCCTAACGGAGAGAGCTGGCCGGGTGCCCAGACGTTGGGCAGAGCTGGTGGGAGGGGGCCTGCGCCCCAGGTGTCCAGCCCAGGTGACATGCTGGCGAGGGAGGGGGTGGGTGTGTTGTGTGGCCCTCAGCAGAGTCCCACTGAGACCTGTTGTCTACACCTCAGGGCCCAGGACCCCAGGCAGGGCCCTGGCAGGACGGGGTGGAGGGGATGGGGCTGTGGCTGGGGACCCTCCCTCATGACCCGCCCCAGTCCAGCCTCTGTCGTAGGCCCCAGGCAGGGCTGGGATCTTGGCCTTGGGGAGCCCGTGAGTGACAGGCAGAGGTGAGGCTGGGCAGAAGCCTGGCCCAGAGGTAGAGTGGGCTTTCCCAGGCCGTCCATGCTGCAGCCCGTCCTGCACCCCTCCCTGGGGGCTCCGAGGACTGCGGGGGCCGCGTGTGCTGGGGGGTGGGGCAGCTGGGACCCGGGCATCCCTCCAGGGCCAATGACCTCCACGTGACCTACGCGGGGCCAAGGTGGCAGCCCAGCACCCCGGGACCCAGTACCGTGGAGGCCCTCTGCTCCTCCCTCGGGACAGCAGGCTGGGCCCAGGGCTCCCACGCCGCCTGTGGGGAGCTGGCCATCCACACTGGCGGGGGTTAGGGGCAGGTCTCCAGGCCCTGGACAGGGTCCCCTCTGGCTGATGTCCATGGTGCAAAGAGCCAGCCAGGTGGGGCCTAGAGAGCCAGACCGCACCCCAGCTGCCCACCGCGCGCCCCACGCCACGCGGGGTCCGTGGAGATCGAAGGCCCCCCACGGTCTGACGGGCAGACAGACACCCACTTCCCCTCCCTGGGCTCAGGCCCTGGTGGTGGCCGGGGTTGGGGGGGCCGGGGCGGCCCAAGCACGGCTGACCTCCGCATACTCTCAAAGTCCTTTATTGTACAATGTCTTCTGTCTGGGGGAGGGGCGCCGAAGACTAACGGGTACACAGCGAAGTAGATAAATATGCCAAGCTTTTTCTTTTTTCTTTTTAAATCAGGCATTTATAAACAAGAAAGCATACATTAATTACATAAAAATAGTTTTCGATAGTAGAGTAAGTCACCATGTTGTCATTAGCAGCAGAAGGGGAAACGCGGACGGCAATGCGGACTCTCCTGGCGGATATAAAGGTAGAGCTGTGGGGTTTTTCCCTTAATCGAAAAAAAATGTCGCTTGTGACTCCTGACTTAAAGCAAGAACAAGACGGCCTCTCGAGCCTGGTGGACGCGGTGGGCGGGCGGGGGCGGGGAGGACAGAGCCCGCGGGGCGCCGCGGGGACCGGCAGAGGGTCCGTCCCCTCCGGCGGGTGAGCTGTTCTTCCTCAGTTAAAAACAACCCAGAAAACAGGACAACTACCAGGTAAGAAAAGAGTTTCTGACAAAGGAACCACCGTATACGCGTGAGATACGACAGCGTAGAGGACACGTATTTACACGGGGCTGTTCTGTACGAAGCGCAAGGTGCCGCGCGTGAGTTAGCTGCTCCAAGGTATGAATGTTATTGCTGTTGTTTCTCCCTTCGTTAAAAATCCTCTTTCAGCAGAGAAATAATGAGTAATTAAACGGGACGCACAATCACTCGGGTGATGGTTATTACACGCGGGGAGAGCCGAAGCCTGCAAGAGCCCCTCCTCCCTCCTGCGGCCGCACGAACTGTAGGACCTGCCCCCCCACCCCCTCCCTGAGGATGGAAGCGGCCGGAACAAGCCTATGCGCCCCGCTGCCCCCTGGGAAACCTCAAGCTGCTGGTGACCAGGGAGCCCGTGACCGCCGCCCCCTTCCCCGCTGCGCCAACTCCGGCGCAGGGACAGGCGCAGGCCCGGGGGACGAGCTGCCGCGGGCTGGCCAGCTCTTTCCCAAAGTCCTGGGGCAAAGCTGGCAAGTAGGGGCACGGACCCAATGGCCTAGACGGTGATCGGAGGTGGGCACTGTGGGGGGGAGGGGGGGGCGCGGGCCTGCACAGAACTTGGAGGAGCTCATCGCCCGCTGGGGCCTAAAAAAACCAAAAAGCAAACGGGTGGCCCCAAGCGACAGGCCCCCCAGGCCCTTTGATCTCTTACAACGTTCAGACTCGGCCACAGAGCACAATCCCACAGAAGCACACGTACAGCTCTGCTCCAAAGAAACCATTTCGTTCCCCTTGAAGAAATGACTGAAAAAACACAACTCCGGAAACACGAGGCTGAACACAGCATTCTGCGTGTTGTGTAGCACTGCCGGCCCCTTGCGGGGCCCGGTAATAATGCCCATCGATGGGATACGTACGGCGGAGGTCTAACGTTCCATGCATACAGATTTCGTAACTGCAAAAGAAAAACAAAAGCAAAAAACAAAAACAAAACAAAATTCCAAACAAACGCTGCATATATATGATGTCCCTTTTGCATTGCACTTTAGAAGAGGGGTCCAGCAGCACCTGCGCCCCTCCCCCCCCGTAAACCACGGGCAAGAACCCTGCAGATGACACGGTCACCAAGCCTCTGCTGGTCACGGCGGCGGGCGGGGTCTGCGCCTGCGCCGGCCAGCGGCCTCCACCTCCGTGTGCACGGCAGCTGCCTTGGCATTGGCGTTAGAATGGGGTCGAGCGAAGACTCCCGGTAAGATCTTTCTCATGTAAATAAATACCGCAATTTCAGGATGGGTAGCGCCTCTTGTCGACTGTAAAATCATTTTTCAAGCTTGGGCATAAAAAACCGTATACAATTTGCATGAACAGTTGAGAGTAAACGAGATTACTTGGAATAAATGCAAGTGACTTATTCTGATAGTGGCAGGTTCGATCGCGACTGAAGACGGGTGTCTCGGGGGTAAAAAGGCGAGTCCGGATTTGCTGTACAAGATGCTGGAAGGCACAGAACTACCCCCCGAAGTTCAGCTTTTGCATTTCCGTTTTGTGATTCCCTTGTTCAACCGAGCACCAGAGGGGGTTTCTAAACACTGGAGCACTTAGGCTGTGGACTGCTCTATAAATGGGTTTGCAATATTTGAAAAGTAAAAACCTCAGTTAACTGGGGAATAAAAAGAGAAGAGTTTTGACAAAGTGCAGTTCTAAATATACGTTTAAATGAACAAACAAAAAGGAAAAAAAAAGTGAAGTAATGCTGTTTTTGTTCCGACGCTGCAGCCTCGGCCCCGACGCGACAGGGGTGGCCGGGGGCGGGTGGCAGAGGTGAGCGGCGCCCGGGCAGGCGGAAGGCGGCAGTGGTCGCCGGCGGCCGGCACAGGAGGCCTGGGTCCTTGTCGCTGAAAAAATAGACTCTGGAGAAAACCCTCCCTGTCCCTGCGTGGGCGCGGACGGGCTGAGATGGCTTTGCGGGCGGGGCCCGGCTCCCTTGGGTCCTCGGATGGCGTCACGTGTTGGTGGGGCTTTTAAAAGTTAGTCGTTAAAAAACCTGTTGATTTTTCTGAGTATCAAGTCTTCTTATTGGTTTTAAATAGCTTATAACAAAAATGTAAATGTTAGGACGTCCCGGCAAGCAGAGGGCCGCGGCGGGCACAGAGCCTCGGCTCCGGCTGCGCTGGGAACCCGGCTTGCGCACTTGAACTTGGCCAGTAGAAAATTTTGCAGTGGATTCCAAAAGTGTGTGGTTCCAAACGCTCGCTTGGTTATAGGCACAGTAAGACGTTGTGCTGTGTGGACGTGGGGGGGGGGGGGCCGACGGCGCACAGGCGCAGAGCCCCCTGCGGGCGTGGATCGCTCGCCTGCCCCCCCCTCCCCCTGCGGCATCCGCACCCGGCCGACGGCGGCTCCGCTAGGGCTCCAGCTCGGCCGCGCTCTCGCCGCCTGCGGCCTCCGGCCGGGGCCGCGGCCACAGCTGCTCCTGCAGCTCCTTCACCACCTTCTCCAGGTGCTCCCGGGCCTCGCGCTCCCGAAGCAGGTCGGCCCGCAGCTGCTCGCGATCCGCTTCCGCGTGCTGGAGCTTCACCTGCAGGTCCTCGATCTGGAAGGGACGCGGCGCTTTAGCATCCACTCCCCGCCTGGCCGCCCCAGCCCCAGCCCCAGCCCGCCCGTCCTGGGGGCGGGAGCGCGCCGGGCCCAGGAAGGCCTCTCCGCAGGCACTGCGAGCCGGGTGCAGGTGGGCATGCAGAGCCGCTGACGGGTGGGAACTACCAAAACCCCCGAATGTGGCTGCCTCGGGTGCCCTTGACCTCCTGGGGCCAGAGTTTCCCTCGAGAGCCCAGACCAGACCCTCCAAGCACCGGTGAGGTGGGAGGAGGAGGGGCTGCCGTGCCCACCTGCCCGGGCAGGATGGCCCGGCTGCGGGGGCAGAAGCCGGGGCCCCTCTGCACGCCGGGCTGGCCCCGAGCTGGTTTCTCAAGGGGAACCACCAGGAGGGCGTGGCCACAGGGAAGGGGCGCACAGAGCTCCCACGTATGCGGCCAGAGACGCCTCCCGCACAGCCCACAGGCCGGCCCCCCACCGCCCGTACCTGGGCCGAGTACTTGGCGCGCAGGCGGCCGGCCTCGCAGCCCTTGTCGCACACCCGCAGCTGGCGCGCCTGCTCCAGCTCCCGCTTCAGGCGCAGCCGGGACTCGTTGGCCTCTCGCATCTTCTTCTCGTTCTCTGCCCGGAGGCGCTCGATCTCCTTTCGCAGGTTGCGCTTGGCCTCCGTGGCTTCCCGAAGCTTCTCCTTCTTGGCCACGCGCAGGAACTCCAGCTCCTGGGAGGGCAGGTGGCACACAAGCCCCGGCTGGGGTCACCACCCTGCCCCGGCCTCCACCCCTCCCGCCACCCCCCTGCTCCCCGCGGAGCCTCCCCCTCAGCCCTCAGCACCCGCCTTCCCGGGTGCCACAACCCGTCCCGGGAGGCCTCCCTCAGCACCTCCGCCCGGCCGGCCCTCTCCAGCCACCAGTGACTGCCGCCCCCGCCCCCACAGCCACGTGTGAACACGCGTGTGGGCAAGCACACCTCCAACCAGACCAAGGAAGAGGCACCCTGAGCGAGCGCTTGACACACACTCAGGGGACGTCTGGGATCCCGTGCTCTGGAGACAGCGAGGCTGCGCTGTGCTAGAGCCCACGTGTGAAGCTGCCAGACGCCAGCCACAGAGGTGCGAACTCAGCGACAGCGACACCGGCCGCAGAGTCCTGGGTGGAGGCCCCGCCCCACTGCCTGCCCCCCCGGAGGCGGGACCCAGACACATCTGGGCCCTGATCAAGCCCCTCCTTTGACAGGAAGCAGTCACTTTTGTGGAATCAGTTAGAATCCTGCGTGCCTGGGGGCCTGATCCTGCCTGCACGCTCGCCCGTCTCTGACAACACAGGGCTTTCGGGAACGAGCCGCAGGCAGCAGGCCGAGCAGCTGCTGTGTCCCGGGGGACAGGCCGGCTCTGTGCGGGGAGAGCGGGCGCGGCGGCCTCACCTGATGGAGGCTGCGCTTGGCCTGCAGCGCGGCGCTCAGCTTCTCCTCCTGCTTCACGCGCATCTTCACCACCTCATGCAGGAACTTCTCTTTGGCTTCCTTGGTGTCCAGGCCGCCCTCCAGGGCCTGCCGCAGGTGCTCGAGCTCGGCCTCCAGCCCGCCGCTTGCAGCGTCCGCGGGGGCCGCGGCCTCGGGGACGGCGGGCGCGGCGGGCGGGGCGTGCATGCCTGGGGAGCTCAGGTCCTTGGCGGAGCTGGATGAGGTAAGGGACGGGGAGGACAGGGACGACAGGGAGGAGGTGACTGTGGAAACAGACGAAAGCGGAAGTCAGCAGAGCGCTCACCGCACCTCCGCGCAGCGCCTCGCCCGGGGCAGGAGGGGACCCCCGCCTCACACGTACATTCCTCCCTGCTCTCCACTTCCACCTCGGCCTCCGAGTCCTTGTCATCCTCTGGGGCGGCCACGGGCGCTGGGGTCTCCGGGGCTCCGGGCGTGTCCACGGTCAGCTTCCGCTTCCGTGGCTGGATGCAGGTGGCTAGAGGTTCCGGGGCCCGGGAGACCACGGTGGCGCAGGGCGGGCTGCTCACGGCCTTCTGCTGGGCCGGCGGCGCCAGGGCCACGTTGGGGGCCACCCCCGTCTCAAAGCTCTTGTAGGAGTAAAAGCTGCAGGGGTGGGGAGGGTGTTGGGGCCACAGGCATCTGCCCCCACCGCCCCGCCCCCCCCCACGGTGGCCAGCGCGTGAAGGCTCATCGTGGGACATGTCCCCTGGAAGCTGGGAAGGAGGCAGCACACGAGCCGGGAGCCCTGGGGCAGCTGGAGCACGGCCGCTGGCCGCACCCAAGGGAGAGGGTGCAGCAGACGCTCCGGATGTCCCCGCCGGGACGCCGGTCAGCAGGACTGACGCTTCCGGAACTGCGTGCATGGGGAGCCGGGTCTGTGTGCGCAGCCCATGAAGCCGACTGCACAATGACGCACGGCGCTCATGCCAGTCGGAGCTGGTTCACTGCCGTGCGGCCCTGCCTGAAGGCGGTCAGAGCAGAAGCCGCAGGCAGGAACAAAGGCCCCAGGCCCACACACTCCGGGCCCTTCACTTAGCAGCACACGCGCCGCGGGAGGGCGGGTGCCAGTCCTGAGACATGCAGAGTGACAGCCTCGCTTGAATCGCATCCACTCCGTTTGACAACAACTCTGGGCAGCGACGCAAAGGAGAGGTCTCACCCCCGCATCCCCTGATAACGACGGACCACCCGCACCCAGCACGGCAGGTACTCACCTGTCTCGAATCAGGGCCGGGAGGTGCGGGGAGAGCTCTTTGTCACTCGTAGAAACCGCAGGGGACCAGGGTCGGAAAGCGGAAAGGCGCTGGCGAGGGTGAACGCAGCCGAGGCTCTGCTGGAAGAGGCGCCAGGGTCAGACGCAGGAGTGTAGAGCCCCGCGGTGCCCCCCACCACTACACCCGCCTCCCCCCCCATGCCCGCGGCCCAGCCCGCGCACAACCTTGCTGGAGGAGCTGGCCAGGGTCCGCAGCCAGCCAGACTGTTTGTCCTTCTCAGAAGACGTGGGGACTTGGGAGGAGGCGTCATCTGTCTTTCGGATGGAGGCGGGGGGTTCAGAGGAGACCTGTGGACACAAAAGTTGTCACCGGAGCCTCGGGGGCGTCTGTGCTCTGAGCACCAGGTGTGTACAGTGACGCGCGGGCCCGGACTCCAGAGCAGGATAAGCCATGTCCCCGAGAACGGGCGCTGTGGCGCTCCCTGCAGGCCTCCCCCGCCGTGATCTCCCCCTATGGCCACAGGAGGCCCAGGGTGGGGGCTCGAGAGGACAGCCCCTTGCCACAGCCCCGGCGGCCAATGGGAGCCACGGACCCCAGCCTCCTCCCCGTGATCATGCCAGGTGGCGGGCAGGCTCACCGGCCAAGTGTGGGGCCGGGCAGGGGTGTCTCCCAGGTCCCCAGCGTTCCAGGTGACAAGCAGAATTTCGACAACTTGCCATCAGCTGAGGGATAGGGGGGCTGCCCTCTGGCAAGCCCCCCCACCCCAAAAGAAAGCGTTCTCAAAAATAGAGACAACCCCTCCCACCACGTGCACAACAGTTTCAGGGCTCATGTTTTCTGCGAGCCTCGCTGTCGAAGGTTCGAGAAGCTGCCCCCAGACTCCCAGGGGGCCTGAGGGTCTGTTGGACGTGGCAGTTGCCATGGCCTCCCGAGCAGGGTCAGAGGGGAACCACCTGACAGCGCACGGTCCCCGAGGGAGACGGGCAATCTGGGCAACATGGACCGCACCTCCCCCTGGGGAGGCCGTGCTGGGGTCCGTGTGACAGATCAACACAGCGTCACCCGCCTGGGGAGCAGGGCCGCCAGGATGAGGCTGACCTCCGGGGCAGCGGGTGCGGGGAGGGCTTGCTGGGCGGCTCCTCCCCGCTCTGGGAACACGTGGGGAAATGCTGTATCGCAGAACCGTCCTGGGAGGGAGATGGGGGGTGGGGGAGGCACATGGTCAGGCAAGGTGTCCCCCTCACCAGGGCTGTCATCACAAAATTCAAGAGACACAGGGCTGACTGGAGCCCGGGCACACAGCCCGCGGACGGAGGATCCCGGGGAAGGGCCTGACCAAGCCCAGCACGCATCTGCCTGCACGTGTGCTCGTGGGGCCCCCGGCCCACCCCATGGCACCCACTCTTGGGGGACAGACAGGCGGGGGGGAGGACCCTGTGCAAGGGCGCGCCGGCCCGTCCTCATGCAGAAGCAGCTGCCGAAGGCCTGCAGCCGAGGGGTACACACCCAGCCCCGGGAAGGCGCTTCGGGGCGAACCCACAGACGGCTGTGGACAGTGGGCTCAGACGTGAAACACTCAGGAAAGAGAGACCCACTTGTTGGTGCTTTTTTGGGACAGAGTCCGGTGACATCTGCCAGCGCAGCCCGGATAGCTCCTGCCGCCTGTGAGGGGTGGCAGGGGCTGGGCGGAGGCCAGTCATGCCAGCACAGACGGGGCTTCCTGTTGCGCAGCTAGAGGCGGTGGCGGGGAGGGCAGGAAACAAGCCGCGTTCTCCCCGAGAGAAAAGCCGCAGGCCTAGCGCCGGCTCCTGCAGGCTGAGAAACCTCAGGGAGACTCCCAGGGCTCTCACAAGACTCCGGCTTCGGGGCCACGCACACACGCACGGGGGCTGTAGAGTGGCACCCATTGGCCAGAGCCCCATCCACGCGGCGGGGGAGCGAGGGGGCAGGTTCCTGGGCAGGGACCCGGCCTGCAAGCACCGAGCGCTCAAAACCAGCCCGTCAGTTCTGGAGGCCAGGGCCCCCCTGTCACCCCCCCACCCCGAGCTTTCTGTCAAGCCTGTGTGTGTGTGTGTGTGTGTGTCCCCGTCTGTCCGTCCGTTCGTCCAGGGAGCTGGAATGGCTCCTCCAGGATTCGCACAGCAAGAAAGGCCCCTGTAAGCCCCTTCTATCGATGACAGAGAGCAGCAGGAAGCGGCCACCAGGGACAGCCGTGTCAGGACATATCTTCCAGGCCACTGTCTCCAGCAGGGCGCACTTGGGCCCCAGGAACAGCAGACGGTCGGGGACAAAAGTGCCCTGCGATCCCTACTCCACAAGAGGTCACCCAGCAGGTAAGGACATTCGCTTCTGGTTTCTGACCCCTGTCAAGGCCTCCATGCCAGATCCTGGGGCCCACACACGTCAAGGAGGAAGCAGGCTTCCAGGCCTAGGGCACAGCCAGCACCATCGAGGGGGGGGTCTGCCCCCTGGAGTCCGCTGGTGACCCCACACAGGGCAGAGGGACTAGAGCAGCTGACCGCAGCACCACCCGTGGACACCTACCCCCGGGGGTCCCCGCGCAAGGGCAAGAGCATGTGCCACTGAGCATGTACCCTCGCCGTGCAGCGTCTTGGACAGTGCGGGGGGACAGTCCCGCCATGGGGCAGCCACTCTGTCCAAGAGCAGGCCACGGACGGCCCAGGCGCACACCCGGGACTGCCGGGCAGCTGTGTGTGGTCCTCACAGAGAGGACACCCCGCATCGGGGTTCTGCGCACGTTACACCGGGGACCTCTGTAGATCTGCAAGGATTTAGGTACAAAGTAGGAGTGACTTTGCCACCTGACCTTCACACCAACGGGGACCGGAGTGTCAGTCAAGACAGAGGCACCAAACCGTGGGCTCCATCAGATATGAGTGGAGCAGGGCCAGGACGGCTTATGGCCACCACCCAAGTGCAGCGCAGGGAGAAGCAGGGTAGACGAGAGGGTCCGTGGCCGCCCGCCCAAAGCCACAGTGGCTTCCGGCACTGGCCTCGGGGCCGCACACTAGCAAAGGCCACGCTTCAGCGCCCGAGCCTCAAGTGCACAGCAGGACAACGTGGGCCACGGCCCAGAGGCAGGGCAACGTGGAAGAAGGGCTTTGGGCTCCCCGCCACCGGCCCCCCACACCGCGCTGGGAGCCCCGTGTTTCAGCAGCACGGGAGCGGGCCTGGGCGCGGAGCCCTGACCGGGCATCTGGAGAACCCCAGGGCACGACTCCTGGGAGCGAAGCCGTCGCCGAGCCCGTGTTCCAGGGGAACGAGCTCATGACCACTCTGCCCCCCAGGGCCGCCATGGGCCCAGGAGATGTCCCTGCCTTGCCACGCCCCACGCCCCACTTCCTGGGTGCTGCCCTGCACATTTAAAAAAAAAAAAAAAAAATACGTGAGGACGAGAAGGGAGAGGAGACGATCCAGATGCTGGCAGAAGGCGCTGGCCCGAGGCCCGGCCCGCAGCCTGACTCTGCGGGGCTCCCGCTGCCACCACAGACCCCGACCATCACACAGGCGTCAGTCCTGGGCAAAGAGGGGGTGCCAGGCAGCGGAACAAACCTAGATGGCCCAGCAGCGAGACCTGCAGCCGCTCCCGCCCTCCCCTGGGAGGCCCCTCCCGTGCACGCATGTTCCAGGCACGGTCTGAACACAGACGAGGGTGACAAGGCCACGCCCGCAGACATGCGGCCTCCAATACAGAGCTCACAACAGGGGACAAAGTCACCCCGAAGGGCTGTCCAGAGTCGTCACTCTAAGTCAGTGGGAATAGTCACCATCTCCACCCAGGTCCCCAGGCCCCAAATGTTATGCAGGGGCACTTGGGGGATGTGTGGACCTCGGGCTGAGGACCTGAGGGTGATAGTCAGGACTGCCTGTCACACCCGGGCCTGCCCATGTTCCCAGAACCGGAAGCGGCAGTGCCCGCCAGGTCCCGGCCCTGCCACGGGCTCAGATGTCCAGGAGTGAGCATGCGTCCAGGGCAAACCAGCGGCTGCAGCACTCGCCCGACCCCCAAACGGCTCCCACAGCTGAGGGGCCGCTCGGGCCAGCGGGCCGGGGTCTCAGGCTCCCTCCCTTGTCTGAGATGCCTCCCCAGCTCCCACCCCCTCTCCCTGTGCCGTGTCCGGGCACCCTTGGGTCACGTCACGAGGCGGCGCCAGGCCTCCCCTGCGTGGAGGTGTGCGCTCAGAGCTCATGAACAACATGGACAACTGGACAAGGTCCATGGCGCATCCCCTCCCCACCCCCCAGCCGAGGACCACCGGTGTGTGCGCTGGCTGGCCTGGCACCCCGCAGCCAGGAACACCTGCTGTCCGGGCGCCGCAAGCAGAGCCGACACCTACTGCCACCCAGGTCCCCTCTGGCCCAGCAGTTCCAGGTGCTGGCTGGGGGGGTGTCCTCATGGCAGCCGGCCACTGCGTGAAGATGTCCACGGGCCCGGAGTCCCAGGTCCCACTGAAGGCGTCCCGACAGGAAATGACTCTCAGGTTCCCAAACGCACAGCAGCAGCAGGGCCAGCCTGACCCGGTGAGGCTGTGGGGCTGGGCCCTGGGAGCCACAGCAGCCAGAAAGCCCTCTCCAGTGGCCTGCGCACAAGTGACCCACTGACATACCTGCTGTGAGACCGTGGAGGAGGGGAGGGCAGGCTGGCAGGCCAGGCCTAAGCGGACCCCCAGGCCGCGGACAGGAGAGGGGAGCCAGGTGGGGCCGCACCCACCACCTCACCACGAGCTGCTAAGAACAGTCATGTGCCTCAGCCAAATGCCAGACAGAAAATATCACAGTTCAGATCCACCAGGAACCCTTTCCTGCCCATGTGCAGAATTCTGGCCACTTACCCCAGGGATGAGGAAAAGAGAAATTTCAAAGTCACAGGTGGGACAAGGGGCAGAAATCTCAACCTCCCAAGACCGCTGCTCACTGTGGGCCAGACCCCCAAGAGCCCCAACAGGACAGGGGACCCATGTCCAGACCCCAGCAAAGCCCCCAGGGGTGAGGAGGTGAGCCCCTTTCAGACGTCACGGTGGTGGCGAACTCACCAGACCCCGTCACTGCGTGGAGCCTCAGACCACGCATGTCCTCCGGAAGCACACCCAGGCCACGCGCCATTGGCACCTTGGCGGCAGCAGCTGCAAGGGAGGGCTGCCCGTGGTCTACACATCCTGCAGCAGACGCTCAGGGCGCTTCAGGGCGCAGGGAGCCTTTCAGCAGCCAGCCCCTCACGGCAAGTCGCCACGCAGGAGAGCGCGGGCAGACCCCACCACGTCCGCCGGGGTGCTCCCAAGGCAGGGTCGGTCACTGCGGGTGGTGCCCCGCTGCAGCGCCTCAGCCT